GGCCTCAGACGCGTCCATCGGCGTCGGACATCCAAACTAGGGGCAGGGAAAACCAGCCTCCATTCGTCCATTGCAGCTGAGGCGCAAAGCGCGGTCCTGCACCTAGCCAGGGTTGCGATTTCGTCGAATCTCGTTCAGTTTTCCTCGATGCTCGCTGCCCAGGCAAGGGAGTCGGCAAAAACGGTGCCGAGCCCGACGCCCAAGGAGGCCACAGGATCATTTTGCAGTAGCATGGAACCTAAGCACTTGTTAGTGCAACGGTGCAAAAGTTATGCCGCAACAGATTCCCTTCCAGCTGATCCTGCAATCCTCTTTGCTGGAACGAAGCCTGGCGCTCATTAATTTGAATTCAATTATAGGGATGCAATTGCTACTACTATAATAATACCATTAATATTACTACCTTAAGTATTCTTATCATTACAATATATTACAATTTCTATTTTCAAGGTTATTATTGTTTCTATTGCGATTATTATTTTTCTTAACCATTTGCTCACTATTGCTACGAAGTGTCACTGTAGGCCGCATGTGACAGCATGGGACACTGGATGCACGGCCAAGGCAGAGCAACGAGGAGCAGGAAAACTGGCAGGGTGGACAATGGCCGCTGGCCCGAGCTTTAACATGAGCCATGGTCTAAACTCCTTAGAGGGGTATATTGGAGATCACATAGGGTTTAGGGTTTGGGGTCTAAACTCCTTAAGGGGGGGTTATATAGGGGACTCCTGTAGTGCTTGTTAAGGCGGATACTAGGAGTTTAGTCGGATACTAGGAGTTTAGACTATAACCCCTATCATGTTCCATTTTCTTGTCCGTTTGATTTTCGATTATTAGGGGATAATATCCCTAAACCTGCTGACCAGCTCCTGGCCCTTTGACTGGACGCTGACCCTAAACCCTAAACCCTAAACCCCAAAACCCTAAACCCCTAAACCCCTAAACCCTGAATCTAAACTGCAGTGGAGGTGGGAAAGTGGTGGCAGCGAATCCTGGGTCCGCACCAGCTCTGCTCTCTTTTTGGCCATGCCCTGCTTAGCAGTAATAAATAGTAATAATAGTAATAATCGTCGTCGTCGTCGTCGTCGTCGTCGTCATCGTCGTAGTAGTAGTAGTAGTCATAATAATTAGAGAGAGAAGTGAGATCTTCAATCCGAACTGGGCCCAGATCATATTCTTGTTCAGAGATGCTGTTAGGTTACCAGGCATGGGTGGCTTTGAATCATGGTAGCAATGCCCCTGCGCAGAACAAGAAGAGCTGGGAATGGGAATCCTGGCGCGAAGATGGCTGGGGCAACTCCAAGGGAGAGGAGCTCCCCTCAGCGCTCAGCATGTTCCAAAACGCTCCTGGCAATGATATTTGTGCAGGCTAAAGACGGCTGGTGGGGCGGCCAGTGGGAAAAGGCAATCCAGTGGTGCCAACACGAGAAAGCAAATTTTTTAAAGTTGAAGCAATTGCATGAGGCCGGCACCCGCAAGAAGGGCTACAAGGCGAGGGCATGGTGGTCAGCTTATGTCACAAAGCTACTGCTTTAGCAGTGGTAGCCTTCAAGTTTTGGAAAAAGACGTATGGTGTGATATATCACAGCATGGAGGGGGGAAGGGGCGGGGGTCGAGCGCGATTCTTTCACAGGAAACTGTAGATTTTTGGGTCTGGGGGGGGGTCGAAGGTGATTCTTTGACTTGAACCATAGGTTTGGTGAGGGTCCTCTGTAATTCTTTTTGAGAGAGGATTCGTCGGAATAAGGTCATGTTTGGTGGCTAATTGGACGAACAACAGTTGCATCACATCTCTTTTTTGCAGTGTTCAGTGTCCTGGCATGCTCATGGTACTAATGATATCGTTTCTGGTGGTTACGTCTAACTTCCCTGCTGTATTCAGCCTATCGTGTTCACGACTGCTGTATGGTCATTTTACGAGTGGCATAGGTGTGGTAGTTGCGTCAGACCTCCCTACTTGTTCTATTGTGTGCCATACGTACTCCGGCAAGGTCATAATACGGATAGCATGATACAACCTCGCAAAGCCATGATACAATCAACCGTGCTGGCTTGCTGCGTCAAACCTCCCTAGCCTCTATGTAGTGATCCCTACCCGACGAGCATCATCATGCCTTCATTGAGACCTCGCTAAGCCTACCAATGCATGGGCATGGTACAAATGACATGAATCACGACGGTTGTATTGAAGCTCCTTACTGCTTTGTTAGTGCATGCCCTTGCATGGTCATGGTACTTGTGCCAATACGTCATGCCTGGTGGTTGCATTTCCTTTGCGTGGTTTTTGTGCGCGTACGATGTTGCTTTGCGGCTGCATCCAATCTTACTAGTCTTTATGTACCCTTTTTTGGCCACAGTCCGGGTAAGTTCACACTTCGTAGTTGAGAGAAGCCTCTCTTCTTCTATGAGTAACATCTTCCCTGGTGGTTCCATGCAGCCTTCCTGTTGTTTACTGCTCTGTGGAAAGGTTCCCGTTTTCAGTGTTGGGATCTGGGACCCCGCGACCGATGAAACTCATTGCGCCCGCGTCCGCAAGCATCCGTCCACAAGTGTGCGCAAGCGTTTCCAAGCGTTCGCGCAGTTACCATCCTCGTACACTGTGTGGACTGCACTCTCTAGCCGGCAGCTCTCAAGCAGCCTTTTCCACAAAGGCACAAATCAGGGCTACGCGTTTCGCTCTCGTGGAGCTTGTTCAAGCCTTGCGCCTGGGAAAATGCTGCGGACGTACATGCTCAACAAGCGGCTCAGCGCATGCTGAGCATCTTAGTCTGTGATGCATCAGGGTTTTTATAAAAACCCAGAGCCCACCCACCTCAACCCTGCTCTGGGATATTGACCTTCCTGGCTGATTTCAGCCATGTGGTGGCATAGTTTCGTCGAAAATCATTGTGTTGAATTCGAAAACTAAGCAGAACATCGCATCGGAACGGCAAGAGCCTCTGCACAGTGTGCCAGTCCCGTTTGACTGCTGCTTTGATCGTTTTGATGTTCAAGGAACTAGTGTAGACCTGCTTGAAAAAGCAAAGCTTACGTTTGGCCTGCAGTTTTGCTGACACTCGGTCACGCAACTTCCGCAAGGTGCATCTGATCAGCCTGCGAGCTTCGTCTTTGTTGTAGCCACGCCTGCCCAATCGATCCACGAAGAAATCGAGCTCCTGCGAGAGTGTGCATGGGTTTTGCGAATTTTGCCTGAAGAGGCGAACGGCTTCGCCAGAGATCAAGGCAGAGAAAACTGATTTGGGATGACAGCTGCTTCTCGGCAAATAGCTGTATGAGTTCTGCTCCTTGCGAAACGTGGCGAAGCGAAAACCACAGTCAGCTACTGAAATACGAAGGTCCAGATACGGAACTGCCTGCCCCACTGCAGTGCAATCCCACTGGATTTTAGGATGCCAGCTGTTCAGGAAGAACTTGATATGATCAGACATGCCGCACTTGACTATGGCAAGGCCATCGTCGATGAATCTGAACCAACACAGCGCCAAAGGGCAAGCAATGTCAACGCAATGGGCTTGAAGAGCATCATCGAGCTCGGCTAGATACACGTTTGCGAGAACCACTCCGGCTTGCAATCCTGTTGCAAAACCAGATCTGATTTGCCACAAACTACCCTCGAAGGTGATGAACTGAAAGGCGAGGAGTGCTCCGGTAAGACGCACAAGAAAGTTTGCAAAGCTTGGCTTCTTTCGCCAATACCGCCTGACGCGTTCAGAAAACTTCAGCATGAAGTGGCAATGGTCGATACTCGGATAGAGGTTTCGAATGTCCAATGTGCACAACTCAAACCCGTCTGGTACGGAAAGCTGTGCTAAAGACATCTGCAATTGCCAGCTGGATTGAACAACATGCCTGGCATCCTTCGTCGCCGGGGTCAAAGCCACGGTGAGGAAGGTAGCGATAGGGCCAAGCCACGACCGCGACAGATTCATCACAGGGCGGGCATTCATTGGCTCTTTGTGTATCTTTACTCTGATTCTGAAAGAACCCACGGTTGACGACGTGAACTTGCTGGTCATGAAATCCCTGACGAAAGCTGGAATCAGATTTTCGGACGCAGCTTGCATGATCAAACTGTCAAAGGTGGCCTTGGCGTGAAACATGGCTTGTTGGCAAAGCTCAGCTGTCACTGGGACAGAAGCCTGAGCTAGCAATTTATAGCAGGTTTGTTCTACCCACCGTCTTTCCAGGACAACATCGCCAAGATTTTTATCGGCATCGATTACAGCAACGCGGTCCCGATGTTCATGAAGCCAAGTACGTGCTGCACGATCCACCAATGATTCGTTAGATTTCATTGCGCACGGAGTGTAGGAGCAAAGATTGTCTTTGAGAAGCCTGATGTACCTGCTAATCTGCGGGCAGATCTGTGGCTGCCACTGCTTGCGAGGAACACGGCATCTACTGAACTCCGATCTTCTGCTTGGATCTTTGTCACTGAACTGAGCGGCAGTGTGAAGAGAACGCTCAAAATGATGGATTTCTGCCATAACTTTCTGTACACTACTTGTTTGCTTGTCTGCAGCGAACTTGCCACCACGCGAAAGGTACGCTAAAACACATGCAGGTATTTCGAGGTCAGGATCTGTCCGAACATGGACTGGAGAGTATTGAAGCGACACTCTAACTGTACAATAGAAGTCCGTCGCAACTTGTGTCTGACAAACGCATCAAAATCAATGCTAAAGTCTGATCTCCAAAAGCTTGCGCCTCGGTCTTCTGACTGATAGTCAAGATCTGGTAGGTCCTGGGGTTTTGTTTCGGAAGCGTACTTGCTTCCCAGACGATCGCTGAGAGGCCTGATGAGCCTTCTTGTTGCCACGACCTTTGCCATGCCCTTTGGAGCCATGTCTTCCAGCTCCTTGGCGATGCGATGGCCTTGAACTCTTCGATGATGTCCGTGAGGAGGCCTTTGAAGAGGCTCTCGAACGACTCGATGAACCTCGAGTGGAAGAAGACTTGTTCCGGCTTGCGCGAGACCCATGTGAAGCCTGTGAAGATGCACTCCGAGTAGAGGTTCTCGTGGGCTTCGGCTTTGGCTTTGGCTTAGCTGAAGGCTGTTTCGGGTTGTTCTGAACAATGAGGTTGTGTTTCTCGGCGACATCTGGGTGTTGTTTGACAAGGAAAGCAAGTGCACTTGTGCTTGGAACTCTCTGATGCTTAGCTGCTGTGCCCTTGGATGGTAAGCTTGCAAATTCAAGCACTGCCATCGCCAAGAGCTTGTTCACACCCATCAAGCGGAATTCCGCCTCGGCCTTTGTTAGAGCATCTTTTTGCTTGGCTTTCTGCTCACGGTCATGTTCCTGCTTAGCTCTAGCCTTTGGGAGTTCTTTCCTGAAGGTGAGCTGAGCGAAGGTGTGAGCGTGTGCCTCCATAGATGCCTGAGCAGAAGCACTAAAGATACCATCGTAGCGCTCAAACCATGTTTTGATCTTGTCTGAGAGCTTCTGCAGCTGAACATCTTGGCGGGCTTCGTCCTTGAAGAACTTTGAGCATTGTCTCTGGTAGGCGACGATGAAATTCTGGCATTCCCTGGCGTGCCGTCTCCGCATTGCCTTGTAAGCTTCAGAAATGTCAAAGGGTAGCGTATTATCATCTTGCATAGCAAGTCTGTCCTCTTGTCCCTCACCAAGAACTGGGACACATTCCATGAGCTTTTTGGCATTTGCTTTGAAAGCTTGGGGCCACTGCCACTCCTTCGAGGCCTCATCTTCAAAGGATCTCTGAAGTTCGCCTGCATTCTCGATGTCCAAGTATTTTTGCTGCAGATCCGCTTGGTTGACATGGTGTTGGAGCGTGGATTTATACTCCTTCATCCAGTCACCCAAAACTGGCTTCAGATCGGGATCAACAAGGCTCAGCACATCGAGTGGATCTGTGTACTGCTGCGAACTGACTCGCTGTTCTTGGAGAAGCGTCAACTGTTGCTGAAGCAGAAGATTTTGTTGCTGCTGAGCTCGCAACAAGTCTTCCAATGTGATCGAACTCGAGGATGCTGCAGGCGCAGGCACAGACAACCCAGGTGGTGGATTGACATGTAAGCGTCCTGCTGCGGTGCGATGGTAACCTGGTGGCGGCGATGCTGCTCTGCTTCTGCTTCGTCTGGTTTCCAGCGGGATTTCGGTCGGATGATGAGTTGACATGGCGAAAGTGCTACAAGCTGCTACAAGCACACTGTGTGGACTGCACTCTCTAGCCGGCAGCTCTCAAGCAGCCTTTTCCACAAAGGCACAAATCAGGGCTACGCGTTTCGCTCTCGTGGAGCTTGTTCAAGCCTTGCGCCTGGGAAAATGCTGCGGACGTACATGCTCAACAAGCGGCTCAGCGCATGCTGAGCATCTTAGTCTGTGATGCATCAGGGTTTTTATAAAAACCCTGATGCGCCACAGTCCGGGTAAGTTCACACTTCGTAGTTGAGAGAAGCCTCTCTTCTTCTATGAGTAACATCTTCCCTGGTGGTTCCATGCAGCCTTCCTGTTGTCTACTGCTCTGTGGAAAGGTTCCCGTTTTCAGTGTTGGGATCTGGGACCCCGCGACCGATGAAACTCATTGCGCCCGCGTCCGCAAGCATCCGTCCACAAGTGTGCGCAAGCGTTTCCAAGCGTTCGCGCAGTTACCATCCTCGTACACGTGTTGTCGCTTTGCAGCCGTCGTTGCTGCTTCGCGTGTGGAAGGTGCTACTTGTAACAGTCACCGGGGGGCCGGGCTGCGCGGGGAAGCCTTGCTTCTTCGTCGCATGGGAAAAGTTCACAAGTGCCAACAGTCACAGGGAGGACACCGGCTTAGGATTCAGGGTTTAGGGTTTAGAGCTGGTCTGGGGCTTAGGGCTTTCTTAGGGTTTAGGATCTGGGGTTCAGGGTTTGTTTAGGGTTTAGGCTTTAGGGTTTCGGCTTTAGGGTTCAGGGTTGCTTCAGGGCTTAGGGTTCAGGGTTGGTTTAGGGCGCAGGGTTTAGGGTTCAGGGTTTAGGGCTTGGGGCTTCGGGTTTAGGGTTTAAGGTTCAGCTGGTTTAGGGCTTAGGGTTTCGTGGTTTAGGGTTTAGGGTGCTCAGGGTTTAGGTGATAGGGTTCAGGGCTGGTTTGGGGCTGAGGGCTCAGGGTCAGGGTCTAGGGCTCAGGGCTGGTTTAGGGCTAAGGGCTTTGGGTTTAAGGCTTTGGGTTTAGGGTTGAGATTTAGGGTTTAGGGTTTAGGGTTTAGGGTTTAGGGTTTAGGGCTTCGGCCTTAGGGTTTAGGATTTAGAGTCATTAGCGTTCAGGGCTGGCTTAGGGCTTCTGGTTTGGCTAAGGGCTTGTGGGTTCAGGGCTTCGGGTTCAGGGTTGAGATTTAGGGTTTAAAACTGCAGGGTTTAGGGTTTGGGCCTTAGGGTTTAGGGTTTAGGGATCAGGGCTGGTCTAGGGCTTGGGGCTTAAGGTTCAGGCTTCAGGGTCTAGGGATTAGTGTTTAGGGTTCAGGGTCGGTTGGGGGCTTAGAGTTTAGGGTCGAGGTTTTAGGGTTTAGGGTGTAGGGTTTGGGGTTCAAGGTTGGTTTGGGGCTTAGGCTTTTCTTAGGGTTTAGGCTTTAGGGTTCAGGGTTGGTTCAGGGCTGAGGGCTGAGGGCTTAGGGTTTAGGGTTCAGGGTTGGTTCAGGGCGCAGGGTTTAGGGGAGTTTAGGGTTTAGGCTGCTGAGGGTCTAGGGATTAGTGTTCAGGGCTTACGGTTCAGGGTTTAGGGTTTAGGGTCAAGGGCTCTCGTTGTGTTGGTGCGCCAAGCAGCTGTTTTGGTGCGCTTGGTGCGCGATGCAGCGTCTCTTTGGTGCACGAGTCGGTCTGTGGTAGTGCGCGAATCTTTGGTGCGCGAATCCATGGTTCGCGAATCCGACGACGTCGTGCGCGAATCCGCCCGGCGTAGTGCACGAATCACGTGTTTCACGTAGTGTGCGAAGCCGCCCTCTTGGTGCGCGAATCTGCGTTTTGGCGCGCGAATCGGCTTCCAACCATGGCGGAACGGAATGGAGTGGAAGGGAAGGGTGCGAACGGACAGTGAGGTGGAGAGTGAGGTGGACTCAGCGCCAGTTAAAGCGAAGGCAGGGCTGTGTCAAGCATGTCGACACCAGAGCGACAAGCATGCTCTCACCACTGTATCCAGAAGCGGGGAGGTATATATGCAGCCTACAGGTGAACATGCTTTTGATATTATCCTTGATCTGGGGCTGTCTATTGTAGGTAGCTTGCTGTCTGCGTGGTGCTGCATATGTTCGGTACCCGGGACCTGGAGCAGTTCGTAATGACTGGACAGTGCCTGCTCGGGGCTTTGCCCCAGCCCTCCTCTAGGGGAGGGTGTAGCAGTGAGAAGAAGAAGAAGTGAGGTGGACAACGGAGTGGAGAGAGGAATGCCGACTGGTGAGTGGGAGTGGGAGTCCGCCGAGCGGAGTGGTGCGTGATGCGGAGAGTGAAGTGAATAGCAGTGGAGTCAGTGGAGTAGGTATTGGGGTGGACGCTGGAGTGAGGGTAAAGTCCAGAGTAGAGTGGAGAGTTCACTGGAAAGTGGAGTGAAAAGTGGAGCAAAGAACGGGGAAAGTGGGGAGGAGAAGGGAGTGAAAACTAATTGGAAAGGAAAGTGGAGTGCAAAGTGAGGCGGGCAGTGGAGTCGAATTGGCGGCCTCTTGGGAGGGGTTTTCAATCCCCCTCGGCGAGGTTTGTGCTTCTTGCTGGCATGTACCTTCCCTCCTCCTTTTCTGCTGCAGTGCTGAAGCCTCGCTAGCTTTCGTTGGCCTAGGCTCGCCCCTCAAGTTTTGTTCTGCCATAGTAGATGCGCCTGCAGGAGAAGAAGGACGCCCCAGCTGAGGAGCTTGGACGCTGCTTTTTGATGCTGGCATGTCTCTGTGATCTTAGGTATTTATTGCTTTGGATTGCTGGCAGGATGATGATGCAAATGCGGCACTGTGGGACATGCTCTCGACTCAGCCTGCTTGCCTCTGCAAACTTCTCACTTGTTTCGAACACCCTGCCCGCATCAGACGACTTCACCAGGCCAGATACTTCAGTGCAGCCCGATGGAGAGGCATTAGCAGCCTTCATTCACTGTGGGGCAGTGTCCTGAGCACATATTTCATGAATCCCAGCTGGCAGGGCGGCCTGGATCAGTGGACTCTGGGCCACCTCCCTGTGCACGAGCGTCTCATGGAGGGCGAACAGACATCCGGCGTGCCAAAGGCTCCCGACCGGCATGGATTCTGGGCCACAGCAGTAAGAGCAGATCGCCAAAGGCCTTGCCGGAGAATGCCCTGACGCTAGAGGAGCTAGAGCCGCGGGCTAAGCAACATGGCCAAACATAGGCAAGAAGATGGAAGCGGCACATTGAGTGAGATCGCCCCTCACTGCACACCGGTTTTCAATTCCCAAAACCTGCAGGCGTGACCATTTAGCGGCACCGTCAGCGCCTCCTGTGGTGCCTGTGACGAGCTCAAAGCGGGATGCTACGGCCAGTGTGACTGCTTGCAATTGCACCCGCTTGATTCCAGATATCCTTGCTGGTACCAAGGCTCGCCCAATGCCCCAGTCGGCACCGCCAGTGTCGGTTGCAAGCCCAGCTTCGAGTTGCCAAGCGGAAAGATGCATGTTGTCATGTTATGGGCTCTTGCTGGTTGTGGGGTGGCGAGGCTCCCATGCCAAACGTGGCGCCGCCGACCACAAAGCCGATGATCGACAGCCTGCCACCACAGCAGGAGACAGAGGGAATGGAATTGACAAGCTTCTGTAACCTGGCATCTGATGGTGTTTGGTCATTGACTAAATGATGACGTGCACGGATGTCGGAGCATCGAATCTGAAACAGCAGCATCCATGTTTGCTGTGACCGATTAGCCAAAAGCATGAGGAACATCCCTCTCCTACTATGCAGGACATACTGGCTTCCTTAGGCAGCCAGCCAAACGCTGTCCAATCCTCAGCATTGCTAGACTTGTTCTACTTGGCCTCTGCTGTTGATCTGTGTCCCGGAGGCTTCACCCAGCTCTATGCCTGCGGCAGACGATCGATCTGCTGACAGACAGGACCGTGGCGAAAAAGGCACAGCCCGCACCAAAAGACTTGCTATACACATGTCAGCATGAACAGGCAGTCGCGGCAAAGGAGGCAAGAAGGGCAAAGGCAGGATTATGCAGGGGCGCATGTTTCTCAGTTTGGGCCTTCTTAGAATCGCGATCAGGTGAGCGAGACCGAGATGGCGAGAAGGCCTGGACATCAAGTGCAAAAAGCCCCTCGAATCTCAAGTGATGCAGGAGCGACTGGAGAAACTAGATCGCTCTGACGATCCTCGTCGCCAAGCCGTTGAGCAGGCCATCCAGTAAAAAGAAGGTTGTGGGTGGATCGTCCCCAACTGATCTCTCCCGCATTGCTGTTAGCCGCGAGAATGGCAGGTCGGCGAAGTCGTCACGGTGCGAAAACACAGCTCCATGGGCTGTGCAGTTGTCTCCATGACAGACATCAGGGTGAGACAGGCGGAAACTGCACAGCTTCAAGCAATGATTGTAGATCTAGGTCGGAGGCAATACTTTCGCAAATTCTCGCTCATACAAGTGGCCATGTAAGTACCGGACGCACGGCAGCAGAGTTTGGAGATTTGAGACGTGTGAGTCAGGCTCCAGGTAGCTCAGTATGGTCAGATGTTGTGAGCGCTCTGAAGCAGAAATGATTGAGGTCTGTATGTCCCGCTGCAGGCCATTGTGGCAGAAGGGAACGAGTGTATCATCAACGGTATCAAGGTGCAGATAAAGCCGCACACAAACAAGGACTTGCTCTGCAGCTTGGGGGGATGCAAGCCTTTGCAGGCTGTAGGTAGGCTGTAGGTAGGCTGTAGGCAGCAACTTGCAGTTGTTGGACGCAAATCCGCATCCCAGTGCAGAAGTGCAAAGAGCACGCGTGCAGGAAACAAAGGAAGAGGTGATGACAGACTTATTTGTGGCTTGGGGTAGACAGGCTGGGTCTGGATCAGCAAGGAATACCCTAGCATCACTGAAAACATTGCGCTGCCCTGAGGTGGAGAAAGCGAACCCCTTGTCGGAACAGCAAATTGCTAAGCAAGGGTCTCAGCATGTCCTGAGAGTACAGCAGATCAATCAACGTGTTCTGCCCAACATGCAAGGAGCCCATACCTTCAGTTAGCTCGTCCACGAATATTGTTACGAGACTGAGTGAGGTACTTTGACACCAAGCACAAGGAGCTCACCAGTGCATGGAAAGCCGCCGAGGAGGAAGCTGTAGCATTTCTTGGGCTCGTTTGAAGCAAAGCCCAATGAGCCAAGATATTTCCTCAGGAGAAGCTCCGAGCTGAGGAGCAGGAGCGACAGGCAGCTCTTGAAGCAGTTTTCAAAAAGCTTCAGGCAGCAATGTGCTCCCGTTTGAACCAGGCGCAAGAGCAAGTGCTCAGAGAGAGGACGGAGCAGCCGGATGACTCAGAACTCTATCGAAACCTCACCCTGGGTACAGCTATGTACTGTTAGTGTCGAACCAAGGCGAAGGCGCTACGAAGAGCAGCAAGAGCCTTCCTGACCTGTTTGGATTCCGGCACCGCAGCTAGCTCCTCTTGCCTCGGGCATGAGCGCCCAGATTGTGTGCAAGGCAGCTTCGTCGACAGCAGGAGGCTTCTCCGTGATTGTAGTGGCCAGATGTGGCCAGTGCAACTGCCGAGCCTTCATGCCCAACCCGGGGACGGGCCAGTTGCAGGGCTTTAGTAGGACGCTGAATGGTCATGCTATCGATGGGGCTCGCCCGGTCAGACTTCCCGCTTTGCTTTTGCTTCTGGTGACTGAAGAACCGGGATGATCCTTGTGCAGGCAGAAAGCCAGAACAAGTACAAAGAGCAGGCCTGGCCTTGGCATTCCGTGTACAGGGCCCACTAGAGATTGCTTGACACCCAATTCGGAGCTTTGAGGCAAGCAGCATGCGCTGTCTCAAAGCGCAAACTAAAACCAGCTTCTGAAGTTTGTGAAGCCGCAAGGTTGAGGAGCAACAGAGGCAGCAGAAATGGCTCCGAGAGCAGTGGATGGCGGCTCAGGTGGTGCCAAGCTTGATATGGCAGTTTCCTAGATGGGGAATCTCAATGTAGACCCCCCAAACGCTAGAGTGGTTATTATGGGGACCCCCCAAAACAGGTTGGGAACCCTCCCATGTGCCATCTTGAGCAAGTTCGGCCTTTCGCGCAAGTCGTGGTTTCAACTTTTCAACCAAAGAGACACTGTGCAGACGCAAGCTGGCCGTCCGGCGGGAGCCGAGCAGCCAGAATCTCAGGAATTGACTCAGTCTGAATTCTCAAGGACTGAAGGACAAAGAAGGGATGTTGCGAGGTATGCTCAGTCTGGGCAGCAGCCGCAGCGCCAGCGGGAGCCCAGATACATCCAGGACGAGTTCTCCTGCCTTGTCGCCCTTCTGAGGCAAGCGCAGCAAGCCCAAGCAATGCAATGGGCAGCCGGCGGCAACCAATGGATGCAGGCAGTGTACGCCGTGCAGCTGGCATAATTTGTTGACTTCAGCTGTGCCTTGAAGCACCGACAAACTGCTGCTCCCTTTGCCAGAACTGGGCGGTGCAGCAGCAGCAACAACAGCAGCAGCAGCGAAACCTCCAGATGCAGGGGATGACTGGCCAGGAGCGTGAATCTTTGCTACCCCAGCTGTGTAGCAAGAGCTTTGATTGTTTGGATTGTTTTGTGTGCGGTATGCAATGATTGCAGCGCTTGGTGAGTTGAAGCTGTTTGACGAAGTAGACTCGTGAATCAATCAACTTCTTATCAGTAGCCCTTGGGTTTGATGCATCAGGAAGGCATGGACATGCGTGGCTACTGGGCGCAGTGAGCCTGTGGTGGGTTGTGAGCTGAACGGGGCTTTCGGTGCAGGGTCTCGCGAGGGTACGTGCCTCGCTCGGACAAGAGCGGACGAAGCCGGAGTGTGCTTCTCTCAAAAATATGTTTCCTCTTGCTTCGGAGGTACATGGACCAGCGAGGCCAAAATGCTTATGTGGGAGCCCAAGCGCAAGCCTCGTGGCAACATGAATCAATGGAGGGTAGGACAGCTGCCTTTGATCTTGGGGCAATGAAGTCAAGACTCTTCTCTAGCTTTTCATCTGTTTTCTTCCCGAGATTCAGTAGTCGGGGATCTTTCAGCCTATTCCTCACCTCTTTAGCCACGTTCTACTCGATACTCAACTCCCAAAGCCAGGAAAAGCAAGGTTCGAAACAATACACCTCCTGTAGCAAATTCCTTAACTTTGGATACGTGTATGCCGGTGGAGTTTGCTGTGCAATCTTGGAAAGGAAACGCTGCAATCATCATTCCATGTTGCACGGGCAAATCCAGAACTGTTGAATCGGATCTTTGGCTAGTGAACAGAAATGTCCGGGTGATGCCTGAAACTAATTGCAAGTGTCATATTTCAGCCACTCGCAATAGCTAACATTTGGATGCAGCCTGTGTTTTTCTGCTACAATACTTAGTGCAGCTTAGTGGACAAACCTTCATCCGCACCAAAACTGCGGCATATACAAAAAGCTGGTAACAGGCAGCTTGACCATCCGCATGGTGGAGGCATGCCATTAAAGCTTCATGCCATTAAAGCTTCACCTGTGTTCCAAACACCTTCCTGGGTCACTCATTTGAGCGCTTGTCATCAGCCGTGAATCATCCGACGTGAGTGCACGGAGAAGGTGACTGCAAAATGGGCTGACAGTTGTTCAAATGAGGCCCAAGCCTCGCAGCAAGCTGTCCAGGGAGGGCGGCGCTCTCAGTAGAATGCTTTGCCTTGAAGTCCTATTCGGTGGCCGTGGCGCATCTTTACATACTGAAAATTCAGACTTGCAAAGCTGCAGAGGTATCCGAACCAGCAAGCTTTCAACTATGGTGCAGCTGCCTACGCACGTGGTGAACGTATCTGAGCCCCTGCTCGTTGCACACAGTGAAGAAGTAGGATGAAGTAGGTGGGTTGTGGAGATATCTTCTGCAGGCCCGGCGCCACGCGAGGGGCCAACCACATATTCTCACACAAGTAGGACCTAGCAAGCTTGCTCGTGTGCTGCCGTGTTGCGCCAGCCTTTTCAACCCAGTTCCGTAGGTTTAGCGATAACTGCACCCTTCCGGTGCAGTTTGCGCCAGAGACTACATGCCGCAGGAGATGCTAAGAAGCACTGTCACTAGGTTCACTAGATTCACATCCAGCAATCTTATTTTGCTTGAAGCCCAAGCGGGTAAAGCCACCGTTTTAGGCAAAACAGGCAGACAGACATTTCCAGACTTCTGATGCGCAGGCTTTGCGCAATTGTCGGCAGGATGAGTCCAACTGTGTCGCAATTTGTCGCAACGTTTACGTCTCAATTCGGGCGCCACGTGCAGTGCCTGAATGTATTTCGGCCCCAGTGTAACAAGAATTTTGCTTTGGTCTCACTCACAAAAGGATGCTGCCTACACTGGCCTTCTTTGCTTGCCAAGCCATCTCACTCAGAAGGGCGGGTGGGCATACTGAGCGTGACTGCATTCCCGTCGTCGGCTCACAGACTTCTGCTGGCCTGTACGAATTCAACCGGCCGGACGGTGGAAGGCGGGCTTAAGTGAGCAGTGCTTGAAAGGCCCTGAGTCTTTTGATGGTTTGCCGCGGTTGGATCAGAGGGTGCTCAGTGCTCAACGGTGCCGCCTCAACTTACAGAAGCCAGAGAGTCAGAGAGTCAGAGAGCCGGAGATGCAGCTTAGCGACTTAGCATTTATTGCAGGCTGGAGCCGGAGGCCATGGAGGGCCAAGGCAAGTTGAGATGCTTTTTAGGAAGCTTTGCTATGAAGAACAAGCCTTGAGCTGCGAGAGGTGCGGCCCCCTTTGATGCCCCACCGCCGCCCTCTGGCCTGGGTAACTTTAAGGGAGTTATGTTATGCCGGATTCTCGGGAACTCTTCAGGGCAAGCAGTACGATGCGGGATGCCGAGCTCTGTGAGGTAATCGTCCCAGTGATGACGTGAAGTCTGGTGGTGAGGACCCCCAGCCCTTCAGGCCGGTCCGAACAAGCTTTGTGATGGCCAAAGGTTTGAAGCAAAAGTCAGGTCCATGGTCGCCCCAAACCAGGAGGTGGGTCTGACGCCACTGAGGCCCCGAAGCACCCTATACGTACCCCCAACATAGTAGTTTCCATTGTCTTTTCCATTATCCCTATATTAACCCCAACCCCAAAACCCTGAACCATTTATAACCCATATATCATAGCAGTTTCCATTATCTTTTCCATTATTCCCTATATAATCCAAATACAATCCCTACATAATCCCTGTATGATCCCTATATAATCCCTGTATAATCCCTATTTAACTCATTCTAGCAGTATTCCTATATATCCCCAATATATAGAATCCCCCTATAATCCCTATAGTTCCTCCTTGTGTAGAGCTACAAACGCCGCCTAAAAGGAACTTTGAGCCGACGGTGAAAAAGAGGGGCCCTAGCGCAGCTCTCCGCAGACATGTGCAGCTGGCCTCAGCAAAAGCACCAAGTTGTGATCCAGGGCTATAATATATTATGTGATATTATAATGTATTATAGCATACGATAAAACACTACGATATAGTATAATAGAGTATAATATGGTATAGTAGAATGTAATAGAGTATAGTATAGTATAGTATAATATGATATAGTATAATATACTATATCATACTGTACTGCTCCGGGATGTTGTGGGAGAGCACTCCAAGGGGCTACTCTTGCTCCAAGGCGATGGCTCCGGGAGCTGCAGGAGCAAATGAGGGAGGACCGCAACCAGGCGCAGCCGTGCAGCTGTGCTCTGCAAACTCTATTATACTCTACTATACTATATTATGACATATTATTGTATGTTATACTATTTTATCGTATATTACTGTGGCTCTGCAAACTCTTGAAGGGGCTGTCTAAATGGATGGGTACTGCCCCCACTCATTAACAGTTGGATAATATTTATAATATGATTATATATAGCCCTTAATATGACCCGTATTATACAATGTTAATGGTGGGGGCAGGACCCAAGGTACGGAACACTTCCAATTGCCTGCTTTGAACTTCGAACACCAGTGTCTGTTTTCGGAGTGTCTTTGTTTGGACGTAGCGTTTGCATGAAGCGGCTCCGTTTCATGAGCTGGTTGAAATCTGTGCGGTCACGTATCAAGTGCAGAGGGAAGTGGCTTCCCACGTGGAGGTCGAGCAGGAAGAGCAGGATGAGGAAGCCAAGAGAATAAAGCTCAAAGCAGCGTTTGATAAGTGCTGCTCTCGGCTGCTTGAGTTCTTACCCAAACCCTATATATACATATATATATACAAATATGTGTGTATATATATATATGTAAATATGTATGCCCCTATATACCCCAATAACCCTATAATAACCATATATAACCCCCAATATAACCCCATAACCCCTCCAGTGTCGGCTAAGCTCAGCCTGGGCCCCTCAGAGGCATAGAGAAGCCGTGCGAGACATGATGAAAACTCGAGACGACAAGCGAAGAGAGGACCATTTGTTGGTCATTAGGGGATGTACAGGGGTTATATAGGGGATGTATACGGGATTACACGGGTATGTCGCATTGGTGGTTTGTAAATCCCTGTATTCCCTACTAACCCCCAAGCAGGTACTTTTGTCATGGCCGTCCCGGATCATGACAGGTTGATCCAACATGTTTGCATTCCTTCAAAAGACGGCTCCTGCAGACGAATAAAACTTCCACCGTGGTGCTCAGTGGGGAATGGTGGTCATGAATCCGCATAATGGTCCTTATATAATCCCTAGTAACAGTCTCGATTCCCCCGCTCCTATAGTATAGTAGTTTCTATTTAATTTTCCATTATCCCTATATAAACCCAATATCATTACTAAGCACCAGGGAGCTTGCTGGGCTGGGAGGAGGAAGCTGCAGCCAAAGCCGAAAAGGCAGCCAAGGCGGCTGAGGCCGCAGACCGTGCCCCCTTTCATGATAATTTCTCCAAATAAGGGGACCCTAATATAGACCGCCAAAATATCCTAAAATATTGTAATCATTATGATAGGGAACCCAAAGGTACCCCTAATCTTGGGAAACCCCCAAAGACAAAGGGACTTTGAACTGTGAGTGCTAACGCTGCAACTTGAAATTGCTGGTTCGTCGCTAGCTTCCCTGACTTGACTTATGTCGCCAAGCTCCCCAGAATCATGTAACCTGTATCACCCTGGCTGCCCAAGCCGGCTAGACGTGAGGCTAAAGCAGCAGCTTCCGCGCAGCAGGGCACCCGGCAATTGGCATTTTGCCTTGACTTGTGACGGCTAGATGGCAAAGTGCATCGCGAGATGTATCGCGATGTCATATCCGTAAGAAATCCCCGATCATGGCCCAGGGTGGAACTAACATCGCAAGGCAATATCCCTAAGCAATCCCTATGCGATCATGGCCTTGTATGGAACTAAAGAATCTCCGCGGCTTCCTCCCCTTAGTGTTGCAAGCACTAGCTCGAGGCCCGCAGTCTCAGAGATTGCGCACGCTGCAGTGGCTGCTGTCGAAGCAGAAAAGGGCAAGGCACCTGTCAAGGCGGAGCATGCCTCATGCTGCTGTGACAAGCCTGCTTATGATGCGGGTCTTTCTGAAATTTGGAGCCACCATTTGAGAAGCCTCGATCTACTGACTGGACACGCTCTTGCAGGATGTTTGCCGAGAGCACCTGCGCTGGGGGTGTTATTAGCCTGAGGGTGGACATTTCCCTACAGTAATCCCTATTAACCCGAAATGTAGTTTCCATTTTCTTTTCCATTCCTCTACAGAATACTCCCAATAGTAGTTTCCATTGTCTTTTCCATCATCCCTTTGTACCATCCCCTACACCAACACACAAATATATATGCAAGGTGGTTTCCCAAAATTAGGGGTACCTTTTTTGGGGGTCCCAATGATAAGGACTATAGTATTTTGGGGTCTATATTGGGGTCCCCCTATTTTGGGAAACTACCATATATATATATGTATATGTATATCCACAATATTACACCATAAGAGTGAGCGAGTGCAGCTAATCCACCAGGCGCAGGCGCCGAAACCCCTTTGGGCCATGACAGCTCAGGCCGGTCATGTAGAGATCATGTAGGGGAATGGCTATACTTAGGGAGTATATGAGCCATAGTCTAGAGTCCTTAAAGAGGTTATATAGCAGATTATTATCGGGGATACTAGGGGGGATACTGGGAGTTTAGACTGTAGCTCGTATAAGGGTTACATAGAGAAGTGGAAAATAACATGGAAAGTACTATGTCTGGTGTAGGGTTTAGGGTGTAGGGATATTATCCCAATATGGGAGAATCAAAGGCAAAAAAGACCATGGAACATGACATGGCATTTGGGAATAGATAGGGATTTATAGGGGCGAATAGACCAAGCCCTTATGCAGTAAAAGTGGTCCTGGCCTTCAGTGCCATAGCGTGCGGGGCGAGGTTCATGCAGGCTATCGTCATTCTTAATCAAGGGTGGCGGTGATGGCTCGTGAGTCTCTTTGCTAGCAGACTTCCCCATCTAGAACCCAGCGTCAGGAGAAGGACAAGTTTGAGGAAGAGGAGGCGGACGACCTCATCAACTTCGTAGAAGGTCTGGACTTTGACAAGTATGTTGGGGCCCCAGACTTCCCACCCTGAGACTGTTCTCCAGGCTGAAGCATTAATGGCTGTGTAGACGGTCTTCGTGCATGCGCACTTGGCCTTCCCAAGGTCGGAGATCTAGAGTTTCGACAAGCCCTTGGTGCTCGGGTCCCGATGGCTTTGTTGCATGGCCCGTTTCCTTGCACAAACCAGAGCCCCGTTTCACATCAATCCTTCAGTGCAATGTTTGCAGGAGAAAGGTGGGAATTTGGTTCCGTAAGCTGGCTGCCTACACTTGAAGCCTCAGCACCGAGGCGCTCAAAGATCGCACAGGGAAGCTGAAAAAGGAGCAGGAAGCGTCGCTTGGCAGAAGTCATGAATGGGCGTCTTGATTCTGTTGCTGAGTTCATACAGAGTACGTTGCCACGCCCAAGTCTGAAGGTTCAAGGATGAGCTCCTTGCAAGCTTCAATGCAACCTTGGATGATGAAGAGTATGAGGTGCTTTCCTCTGCCAGAGACCTACAGCAGCTTTCCAGAACAAATGTTCTCTGTCAGGAAAGCACGGCAGCAGGAAGCTCAAAGCTGGAGGTGCAGCAAGTTGCTTGACATCTTTATCATCGACATGTTCTCGAAAGCTTCTTTTGCATTTGCGATGGGAGGACGGCGTTGACGGGCAAAGTCTTCTGGGCGATCTGCGCAGTGAATACAGCGTGGCCTCGAGCCGGCGGTCGAGGCTGCGGCCAGCTTTTGACGGTGTCGAGGGTTGCCAACCTTATCCGACCGTACTGTAGCCAGGAATAGGGAAGCACGCGAAAACGCCCAGAAGGAGTGGGTGGATGGCTGAGAACTGTCAGAGTGACGCAAGATGCCAAACACGGTTCCGGAGCTGAGGACAGCTCAACCGCAGCTGGAGAGGCTTGCCGTCAGCTTGAGAAGCGATACCCTTGTTGCGATATCCTGGGCTGGGCTCGCGCGGGGTTCTGTTGTAGAGCGCGAAGCAGGGTTTGGAGCTTTTGCTTTCTTCAGGACCGGCCTGCGGTGGACCCTGAACTCAGGGACATGGCCGAGGCCAAAACCTGTGCAGCTCTGCTCGACTCGTCATCTGCTCTGAGCTGATCATGATGCAGGCAGTGCTCGAGCAGAACCCCAAATTTCGGGCGATCCACTCAAAGGATTCTGTCCAGAAGATCATTGAGAAGGCCCGTTGCCATTGGGACGAGAGCCCCTTCATGGCTCTAAGTTGCAGCCACGGTGCTGCTTGCCAGGTACGGGGCGATCAGGTGGTTGACGTGCCTTTGGCACGACACTGAGATACGGAACGGCAGGCGGCAGGCCGATTGTACTGCCAGAGATCTGCCTGGCGTTGCACACTGTGAACATGTCAACGGGCTATGCGGCTAATCGCCAACAGGCAGTACTTAGTTTTTTGAACTCTTGGAGTCAAGCGAAGTCCATAAGGCTGATCACATGCGGCTGGAAGGTCAGTGCCCCAGATCCGCCCCTGCTCCCGCTCCCGCCCGGCTTCCCTGAAAGAAGCGATTGCCTGAGACTTGCGCAACAAAGGCCCCTGCCCTGTTCCAGTGATCACGGCCTCCTCAGACACACAGAACCGACTTCACAAGCCGGCACAGCCCCAAGAGAGAGCATACTTCCAATACTGCATCCAAGCTCTTCAAAGACACAGAGCCTGTCAGGTTGACCCGTCAATGCTCCCTTACCTGTACCGCTCACCAGCCATTTGAGTCAAGCCAGGCCAGGACTTCCTGCACACATTCTGCGCATTCCGCGTATCTTCTACTGTACCTGAAAATGTCATGCATTATCCCGTGCCCCAGGGCTCGTGGCGGGTCACCCGCCACGCGCGAAGCGTGTCCGTCTCAGTTCTTTGATTCGTTCTGTACGTACGCACGGTCAGAAAGCAGCAGCGAATGCTTCGCAACAAATCTGCACCATGAGTGTCAATGAACGGATGAAGATCTTGCACGCATCACATGAGTCCGCAACTGTTCCAATGTCAAGTGGTATCTTACAATCCGTGCAGCTTTGTTTGCCATCAGACCCTTGAACCTGTGAGGCGTGGCGGTGGCGGACGATTGTATGTCGTTCTTTCAAAGAACACAGCACGTAGCATGCCAGAGTCCGTTACTCGCAGTGCAAGAAAGACAAACATATGTATTCATGAACAATTTATTGGGTGACGGGCCCGAAAGAGTCTTTTCGTTTCACCTGGGTCATCGGCCTGACTGCCTTCGTACTGGCAATGTGAGCCTGCACCGGGGACAGTTCAAGGTCTGCCCGCGCCAGAAGATGCTTGCCGATTCGCTGAACTGTGCGAAGGCGAGCTCAACCGGCCGTGTATCACAACACGAAAGAAATGGCGACTGGGTTCCCATGCCACTGCAACGTGGGCTCAGCTAGCCACTGTGTCAGCAGCCTAAGCAACAGAGAACGTGGCACAGCCGTGGCATGTCACTGATGTGCTTGAAACGGGTTTTGTATGAATCAGCCATGCTTTGTGTTCTCATGCACGTGCGTCATAAAGACAGTTTTTGATAGTGATGGCAACATATCTGTCCCAGCATCAACCTCACCAAAATGACAGCTCTAGCAAAAGGTGTGAACTAGATAACTACTTGTATTTCAACGGTGCTCAGCTGCTTGCCATCTCTCCTTGCGTCCCGGCTGTCTGGAGGCGCAAGCTGCCGTGCTGTCTGGGAATGTACCTGTAGCCCGTAGCGTTGAAACATGACTTGACAGTAAATGTTCTGATCATTTGCAGGGAACTCCTGCCACTCAGCCAGTGGCGAGTTCGGTGTCTGCACTGAGCTCAGAGAGCGTCTCGACAGATCTGATGAGCCGTTGGGTAACATCGCTTCAGGTT